ATTCGCTTTGAGCTACAAAGAAATCAATTAAGAAAACGCCCAGCCGACCGACTGATTGCTAGACGTAACAGGTCCGCTCATGTTACATTCGTTCGTTTTAACAAAACCGGCCATTACAAATGGTAATACGAGATTTAACCAAATGTGAGCAGCGTAAACCGACACGTGCGCTTATGCATGTTTCTATATTAAAAATTTTATCATTGCAGCGCAATGCTTTTATTGTTTTATTTTAAAAACTGTTGTTTTGGTCAGCAAAGCCAGTTAACTAGACAGTCTGCCGTGTTCAGTTGTGTTGCCATTCCGAGTCCATCAGTTTTCTCTCTCCATTGCCACGAGTGTTTTAAATCCCGTGCTGTTTGTCTCGGCGGCGGGCAATCGATATTCGTCTCCACAGAGACCACATGACATGGGAGACTTAGAGAGAAGTGCTCACAGGGAGATGGGAGAGATATAGGAGTGGAGTGAACAAGCTATGCTGTCATTAGAGTTATTAACAGATCAATTAAAAGAAATGAAAGCAGCGCCTGACTGGAAGACATCCTGTTCCAAAATTGTGTTTTGTCATGGGAATCAAAAAGGTTTAGTAGCTGCTTCTGGCACATGAGGGTATACATTTTTTTTTAGATAGGCTACATGTAGGGAACTTTATGTTGGCTTATATACATGACTACAATGGCATCTCCCATAATTGGTTCTGAAGTGTATTGAAAGGATACATTAGACAAAAGCTTTACATTTGTGTAATCCAGATGCAAAAAAAAAGAAGAAAAAACAAGTGATTTGGAGGCGGGTAGAAATACAACAGCCTGCTCTCCACTCTATACGCCAATGAGTCGCTGACTGCGTGATCAGATTGAGGATTAAAAAAAAAAAGCTTTGCATCTTCATTCCCTGACCTCTACTACCCCCCTCCTCCCCCCAACCCAAAACGGTTCTGGCTACAAAAGTGTTTCCAGTCACCGTCAGCTTGAGCATAATGGCTTCCGTTTTAAAGTTAGGATTTTATTGGACCATTAGTCGAGTCCTGTTTCATGATGAGATAAGTGAGCGTGTTGTTGACTGTGCACTCACTTTGTGAGCAGGGATCACTTCCCTTAGCCTATCCCCCCCCCCCCCTTTTTTTTCCCCAGCTTCCTCTCTACTTTAATAAATACGATCCTGGAACCAAACGTTACAATGTACAGAATGTACTACTACAGTACTATTACATTACTACTACTACTTTACAATTACATTTATAGAGCACCTAAAGTTTTTCGGAAATTGTAATTAAATACTAAATTTTTAATGACATCAATATTCCATACTCGCTGCTGTGCCAAAATAATGTTGAATGATGATTCGGCTCCTTATTTTCATGTATTCATTTTCACTACACCATCTAAAAGACAGGCGTAAAATGGTTGGGGGGGGGAGGAGGGAAAGAGAGAGAGCGAGAGAGAGGGAGGGAGATAGAGAGGGAGGGATGGAGAATATTGTTGCGATTTTTAATTTAATTATGACAATCACAGACTGACTTCTGTGGCTTAAGGAAATTTATGTAGCTATCTGGTTGTCTTTGAATATTTTTACATTATAGATTCGATTACCATTTTTTTTTTTTTTTAAGTGTTGACGTTGAATAAGTTATACACATTTTTTGGTTCGTGAGGGTTGGCTCCAACACTCTTGTTTCATATAAAAAAGTTCACTAGCAGATGTTACCAAGTGTACCCGGGTAATAATGGAAAGAATGCTGGACTTTAATCTATTATTAATCTGTTATTATGAAGTCTTGCTTTTATTAAACCCCTTTCACACACATTTCAACCCATAAGCGCACCCCACCAGTGGTAGTACCACATGGGAAATTCGTAGAACCACCTACAGTTCAGAGCCATCCAACATTAAAATTTTTAAGAAATATAAATTAATAAGATATTTAAATAAAGCAGGTGGATATCTGAAAGTGGTAATGTGATACTTTTGTCAGGTTGCTCACACCACAAAAATATCTGCTTTGTATCCCCATTAGACATCGTGGGCATTATAAATTCCACGTGGCAAACTTGCGATGTCACTGGTGCCAATGCGTTTGTAAAGTCTTCATTAGGCTATAAATAATACAAAGCGATTTCAGATACCAAGAGATAGAATTCAGATATCATATTTGATAACGGAGAGCATAAAGAACGTTGTTGATACGCCTAAATATGAAGCATAGTTAGAGGATACTTAAGCCAGACATGACGTGTTGTTATTTTTTTTTAAAATGTACTGTTGGGGGAGGGTTCAGAAATGACCTTGCTGCAGTTAATGGTCAACGCTGAAAACCAACAATGGGGAACTCTCTAATAATCTTCTTCAGCTACTAATCGACTAATCGATAACGAAATATTGCAAGCTGGATTTCGAGAGATCGGATATTAAACCGGACACGGTGAGTTCATAACACCAAAACAGAAAAAAAAATCCTTTTCCCCCCAGGAAGTCATTATCATGATATTTCTAGACGCCAACAGAACACACCTCTTTTTTTGTAATGTGGCCCTGTGGGAGAAACCGCGCGGTGGGAATTGGCACAAAGCTAATTACTTGAGAATAATTCCACATTTATTAATTTTTAATTGAATCTTCCAGAACATTGACCCTTTAGAAGCTCGGTGGAGTTGATGGAATGTTGTGAGATAATGAGTAGGCCTACATTCCTTTGTTTTGTTTACTAAATCGCCAGATCTAATATCCCCAATAAAGAAGACGTGTAAAAAAAAAAAAATACAAGACAAGACAAATTATTTATTGGCAAATATAATATAAATCAGGGTTTCCCAACCTAATAGCCAAGAAAAGCGATTTAATATTAGAGAAGCATTGACTTTATCGGTATGATTTAATGTTTTTATTTTTTTTATATTTTTTATTTTTTATTTTTTTTTTAAAAACATTTTATTCTTCATTTAACCATTTAACTTTTACTTTATGTAAAAGTCCTACGCTTATTTTTAAAGTTAAACAGTTCTCAATGTCATTCCTGTAAACAAATCAGAAGTCTTTTTTTTTTTTTCCTTCAATTCAAATGTGATTGTTACGTTGCTTTTGCAAGTGATGCGAGACTAGTATACAAAGACGTGGAGCGGATGAAGTGTATAGAAAAGGTTGGGAAACACTGCTCGCGACCTCGCACAACTTCACAATAACTGCTCGTCAAAAAGAGAAGAACTGGCAGTGGGTGGGAATAAAGATACAGAAATTATTTAACATACAAAAGTATAAATCTAAATACAGAGGTGATTCACAAAGACTCCATCAAAACAAGTTACATACTAAGATCCGGAAAGTCTTACACGGTAAAATTAGCCACATCAACACGGTTGCTATTAGATTCAGCTATTATTTTACTCTCTGCTCGGGCCAACACGCTAGCTATTAGAAGCCAACACACTGGCTATTAGAAGACTGTTATTGTACTCGCTAAAAGGGCCAGCACGCTAGCTATTAGAGGACTATTATTTTACTCTTTTACTCTATAGGTGTATTAGTAAATACTTTTAGGGGAAGAGGGCGCATAAATTCAGGCTTAGCCCCAGTGCAGCTATTTGTTTTGCCATGGAGCCCTCCCCTTCCTGCTATGAAGGGCGCCCTGCTCTTTGCAAACTCCAGGCCATTATTTAAATATGGAATTTTAAAATTATTTTTGACTTTAAGTAGGCCTATAGGCCTAAACATTTGATATTTTCAAGGTGGAAGTAAACTATTCGATCACTGTAATTAATAAATTGTTTTTTAACCATTTAAGGCAAAGCCAATGATGAGAGAGAGAGATGCAGGTGACTGAAACATTGAAATTATTACATCACTAAATATTTATCAAAAGCTCAACCGTGGCACAGATCTAACTACACAGAATATCTTACGCACATACAAAAATAACTAAAAAAGAGTTTGATGGCGCATTATGATTCCAAAATTTGATCTTAGATTTCATAAATAAAATATTTGTTCAGGAGTTTATTTTTTCTTTTGTAGCATCTAATCATTTTTGCAATGTTACATTTTCAAATGTGCACCGATTATATTAGTGATTGAATTCCAGTTATTAACATAGATAGAAAAGAAAACATAAGAGGGTTGCATCTGCATGGCTCCATTATTCAGAATATTATTATCCAACACTTACATTACATCTCAAGTTGACAAAAATTATTTCTTAATCTTTGTCAAACAAAAAAAAAAAAAATGAACTAGTGTGAAAAAGGAGATGGGGGATAATTTAGGTAAACTCTACGTCAGGCCTTCACAACTTAAAATGTATGGTGGGCCTTAACACTTTATGAAAACCTTGTGTGGGCCGTAATACGTTATAATGAAAAACTTGTGCGGGCCGTAAGATAATAGAACAGGGTCAAAGCTATTAAGAAAATAATAATAATAAAGAATATTTCGTTACTTTGCGGGCTGCCAAAAGGGAGCTCGCAGCCCACATGCTGCCCGCGGGCCGTATGTTGTGCAGGCCTGCTCTATGGCATAGCTCACTGCTGTCAAATTAATATAAAATACATTTTGTTTCAGAAAATACTGTGGTTGACCCAATACTGCTTTGACTTTAAAAAAAAAAAAAAAGAGCAGCAATTAAATAATACTTCCTCAAACTTGATGTATTTACTTTTATTGTTGTTTACATTCCAATTCAACACTGGCATATATTTTAATATGGTTGAAATTAAAAAAAAGCTTAAACAACGTCTGAAACGTAAAACTTTTTAGATTGCTAAGTTCCCAACTAAATAGGAATTTTAAAATGAGGGGTGTTAGGGTGTGTGTGTGGGGGGGGGGGGTAGCTTAACAGCATGGGATCTCAACCATATTTCATCAATCTGCACTTGTCTCATTTTCTTGAAGAATTTTTAACATTATTAATTTTACATTTTTTTTTTGTTTAAAATTAAAAACATATAAACAATATTTTTAAAAATATAGGAATTTTAAAATGAGGGGTGTTAGGGTGTGTGTGTGGGGGGGGGGGTAGCTTAACAGCATGGGATCTCAACCATATTTCATCAATCTGCACTTGTCTCATATTCTTGAAGAATTTTTAACATTATTAATTTTACAATTTTTTATTGTTTAAAATGACAAACATATAAACAATATTTTTAAAAAATGTGTTCATATTTCAGTTTTGCACCACTAACACTGGATCTACTTTAATTAGGGTGCATTGGTTCAATTAATTACACACTTAATATTTTACAAATAATTTATTAAGTAAACATTGTCTCCTTATATACTTTTATTTATATACAAGGTGTTAAGACAGTGGAAGTCTGGAAAACAGAAGTTATTACAAAAAGATCAGACCTTCACATAGAATTCATAGGTATGATTATACACTATCACAGAGACAAGAAATTGTACAGTCTATTTACAGCACATGGCTACAGTGTCAAGGTGTAACAGAAACTGTTCATATAATGAACTCTATAAATTATATAAATTTTAACTATAGTAGTAGTGATGATATTTGATGACATAATTACAGTAGCCTAATAATAGTAATTCATCATTGGGATATTTTTTTTTTCAAAAAGGGAAAGAATTCCACTGCTTAATCATAATCCATTATTCTCAAGCAAATAAGATTATTGAATATAAATTTATCACTTACAGAAACATAGATTCAACTCAAATGTAAAATATTTTGTATGTAAACATTTCATCAATATAAGAAATTAACATAATAAATAAAAAAAAGTTGAAAAAACTGACAAGATGGGACCATTCAACGGCATGATAAAAGTTTGATACTTTATAGCTATGAGATTTACAAGTGGACGGACCGAGCAGTTTGATATGTAATTTAGCAAAGCCATGAGATTATTTGCAAAAATTGAAGACAAAAGTATACTTGTCATATTTATCTTGTAAAAAAAATATATTTAAAAAAAAAAACAAATGCACATTTCATCACGTGCCCAGTCATTTAATATTAATGGTACTTTATTGGTACACTTATCTTAATCATAAAATGATGTTTAAGATATCAAACAAGTTATTTTAAAGTTACATGTGATCGTACCAGCAACAAACCAGAAGCTGTATTTGAAACACAAGCAATGCAAAAACCACTTTAAAAATCTGTGGTTGCAATATAAAAATAAGTCGGTTTGGAATTCATGCCGTATGGACGGATGGTAAGTGTATGTAGCGCAACTCTGACAATAAGAAAATTTTAAAAATCTGAAAGTTTTCATATTCTTTTGTAATAATAAGATTTTTTTTCTTATTTCAGCACGTAAGAATTAGATTTTCTGGAGTCTTTGGATATATGATATCCAAAGGAAAATAAAAAAAATTGACAATCAACTTATTCAAAGATTCATGTTATTAATTTTAAAATGAGTTTGACTTATTTAGTTCCAAATAATAACAATTTACTATTTAATTTTATACTGCTTTTTGGAGTTTTATGAATCTAAGCCTAAAAACAAAACTTATTTTAGTTTACGTTAAAGCAAAGAAACAGCATTAAAGTTTAACAACTCCTATATCGAGAACTTTTTTTATTCAGGTATATTTCATTGAATATGTCCTGCAAAAAGTTATACTTATTTTGATAAGTATAGTATAACCTTCACCTGCACATAGAATAGGACATTTAAAAGAAAAGATTGATGTTTTTTTTTTAACATTATGGATATAGAAAGATAATGTGACATAAAAGATTATAAGTTGACGTCAACTAAAATATTGTCTACTTCATTAAGTCAAGCTTGAGAAAATCTTAGACATTGTTGAAGAATTGATTTCATACCAATTATACTTAAAAACCACAACCATCATATTTTTAAGAGTAATATTTTTATGAATCTAACTGGCAGTACAGTCTATGTATAAGCACAGTAAGACTGTAAAATAATTTCTTAGGCACATTGTTTTCAGAGGCATGTGCAATGATTGCACAAATAATTAATTTTTATTTAATTTTTCAAACAAAGGAAAGCTAATGATGAAAGATAACCTGACTTAGTGGTGCTTGAGTAAATCTCTGTTATGGAATGTTCAAATATCATTTTAACATGGAATTTAAAAAAAACTAAAAACTAAAAAAGGAGACTGCAGGTCCAAACATGAAAAGATTTTTTTATCTGAACAGAAAGTACACCATTATGAAAGTTTTTCGTTTTTTTTTCTTCTTAATTTGAGTTTTTGAAAAAAGAAAACAATCAATCAACCGTGATATTAATTTATTACCAGAGTGGAAAAATGTTTTGCTAATTTAATCATGTTAGAGTTTATCTCCTGTGCTGTACGAATCATCAATAACCTCTTCCTCTACGAACTCCCCGATGTCATCCTCATTGTCCCCAGCTCCCATTCTAAAACCATTCATGCGTTCTGACTTGAGCCCCCTGTCCATGGGCAAGGACAGCGCACGGTGGATGGCTTCTATGGTTTTCATATTCACGTAATAGCCAAGATGTATTCCAGGCAGCCGACTCTGCAGCTCATCAAGAAGTGCATGAGCCTGGAGGAAAAATAGTTATTTCATTATAACTTTGATGAAAAATAAAAAACACTCGCTACATTGAAAGCCAAGGAAAGCTTTCCAGCAGCCAAAATGTTAATGGTTCTTTTTCTCATCCTATAAAGATTTACCCGGCTTGTTTACACTGATATATTGTTCTTTTAAAGTAGTTAAAAACCAACAACCCACAACTCATTTCTAGATGCGTTTATAAATTTCATTTAGTACTTACGGCCTTCCACCTCTCCTTTGATGCATAATGTTCTATCATGAAACCATAAATATCTCCTACTCTAACAGCAGAGTCCAAATCCTTTTCCTCTAGTAAGACTTGACATTGTTTGATGGCTTCATCTGAGTTCTCTTGATATGTTCTGAGTGGGAAAGTATAGTTTTGAATCAATCAATGTCTCTAGGTGCTTCTCAATATTAACTGTCGTTAGAGCTAGGTTAACCATGGGAGTCATTTTGAGCTGTTTCCTACTTAAATGAAAAGATTACTCAAATACTTCATTTTGTATATTGTATAAGTATAGTAAATTAAATATTGTTATTTTTTTTTTTTATTATAGAAAATCATTATTACTAAAATTTACAGTAAGTTAATTTGAACTGAAATATATTTAAATTCTCAATATATCTTTATAAAAAAATTCTACCTGGTGCAGTACTCTAATCTTTAATGTATTTAAAACCAAATAAAATGTAGAATAATATTTTATATATCAGCTCATCATTGAAAAAAAAAAATTTACCTCCTTGCTGTTGTAAATTTTTTGATGAGAGCCATTTTATGTTTGATGGTTCCTAACTTCTCCTCTTGCTGCATAGAATCATCAAGTTTGGCTTTTGACATACATTTGTAAGCTTCACCCAAGGCACCAAGAGCTTTATCATAGTTCTGGTACTCGTCAATCTCAACCTGGTATGTATTACACAAAACAATTTCTCTCATTTGTTTTATTATTATTTTAACACACTCCTGGCCACACTGCTGCTGCTTTGCCTCCTCTAAATTCCCAATGTTGCTGCTTATCATGCCATTTTTAACTTGCTGTAGAAAGCAGTAGAGCTTCAAGTATAGCTCATTAACTACGGTATCTAATTAATCAAAGCTTCACTTCCTTTGCCCAGAAAATCATGGTTTGTTAATAGTTGAACAACTAATTTATCATTTATGGTAAGAGAATTGTTTCACCTTAAAGTTAAAAATAAAATCTATTTTTATTTTATTCATCTTTAAAAAGTTTTTTTTTAAAACTCAATGCATACAAAATGAATTTAATAAATTTTCTGCCCAGATCTCTAAGTAAAAAAAAATATCTGAAAAAGGCATTACCTGAGCACAAGCATCATAAAACGAGGCAAGTGCATCCAGAGCTCTCCCTTTTGTGTAAAAAGCAATAATATTTTTCATGATTTCAGGGTCTTTCCGCCAATCCAATGACTGAAGGTAGTTAGCTGCCATAACATATATTTCCCGCTGTCTAGACACACCAGCAAAAAACACAATCTTCTCTGTGTCACCTGATTTGAGCAGTGCTTTCATTGCCTGAGTGAAGAGAATGTCATTACATAAAATGAAATGGCAAACTCTCTTACAACCTGAACATTACCCTCTGATTTTTTTACCCAGAGTTTTACTTAAAATTTTATTTACTCATAGTATTGTGTTGTATACAAGGCTGTTTGTATACAGGTCCAATTCATTTATGCAAAGAGAAAAGATGGGGAGTGAGGAGAACTTGGCTTCACCCTCTTCTTTTAATAAACAGAAGGTATACAAGGGCATGTAGCCCCTGTCCCTGACTTTTACAAAGAAATAGTTATTGCGTCATACAAATGGGGCAAAACATTAACTAGATGTAATTATCAACCAAACTGTAATGACAATATACTATTTATGTTTATATTTTATAAATGCACACCCTACCTTTATTTTATTTCCTGCCTGTGTGAATTTTTTTGTAGCCAGGTGATAGGCACCTTGGTGCATGCAGACCTCGGCTATGGCTTCTAAGATTTTTATCCTTGCCATTGGGTCATTCTCAAAGTCCTTGTCAGGGGTCAGTTTTTCTGCTAATTCCTCTGTGATTTCTACAGTCTGGTCCATACAGATCTTAACAGCCTCCCAGAACTGAAACAGATTTTAGCCATTTTGTGATCACTTGCTTTAAGGTTCTTTAAAGTTACAAGGTTATTAAATATGGGTTACTAAAACATATAAATTAAATACATACTTGAAACTTAAGGCAATGTCTAAATAGGACAAAAAACGAAAATAATATTAAAAAGGTATGTAAGAAATATTTTTAAAACCAATCATAATGATGACAAAATCTACATTTTATTTTAAAAAATGGTAATTTTACTTCAAGCCCCATTACCTTTTTGCCTATGGCCAACATGTCCACAGCTTTGTCATACTGGCCATTCTCAAGAAAAAATTCAGCACACTTCTGCAGCAATTCTGGGTCAGCTCTGTCATCCAGTTCACTTGATATCTGCTGCAGTGAATCATATTGCCTTGTGGTAAATGCCAGCTCCAAAGCTTTGGAATAGTTTCCTGCCTGTCCGTGCACATACAAAAATAAGCTTATATAACTTGAATTAATAGTGAAGTAATTAGATTGGCATTTAAGATTCAAATATTTATTTGTCAAACACTATTTTACAATAATTTTAATTGTTAGAAGTCAGTTAAAATAATATTCTTTTTGCTAACCCCGTAGCTAATGTTCAATTTGAGCTAAAAATAGACCAGTGCTTAAAAATTCTTTGGACCTAAATAATGTTATTTAAAGAAAATAATTTAGTATGATGACAAGCCATGAAGGATACCTTTTGGTACAACATAACAGCTTTGTGTTGTTGCCCTTGTTTGGTCTCATAATACCTGGCAGCTTCCATGATGTCTTCAGGACGCCCAACAATAGCTGAACTAAGCAACTGGTCTTCAAATCCATGTTCCTGTCAGCCGTAAAGTAAGGAAATTAAAGACAAACAAGCAAGATTGTGAGATATAGTTTGCATGTCGTTTGATGTGTGTCTAAGCAAGAAGTGTGGTTTCTAGTTATGTATAGAAAGTGTTTTCCTTTTTTTTTCCTATACAGGATTTTATAATAGCTTGAACATTATATAAAGGAATTAGTTCTATACCAAGAAGCAAGATCTGATATTATTGTTGCCCATAAAATATTGTTAGTTATTTCATTTTCATAAAATCATTGAAAGAATGGCTAGCGATTTACCTTGCATAATCGGATTGCGCTGCCATAGGCTTTTGCTTTTTGGAAAAAGGAGATTGCTTCTTTGATCTGGTTCTGAGTCTCATACTGCCTGGCCAGATAATAGCAAGCTGCCTGGTCTTTTGTTGTGTCACAGATTTCTGCTGCCTGTTATCACAGTCATTGTTTCATTAGAGCAAAATTTGATACTTGAACAAGTACAGGTATGCGGTTATTACAATACCAGCCAACATTATTTGACATAAATTGATTTCAAACAAACCAATTAAATTTTAAAAACAATTCTGAGACTAACTTCTAAAAAATAATTTTCTTCTGTAAATTAACCTTTTACAAAACACTAGGCACTAGGAAAAACAACCTTTAAAAAAATAATTTCTGTGAAAGAAGAGTTTAAAAGCACTAAGAAGTATAAAATAATTAAAATTCCATAAAATACATTACGCAAAGAAAGTCTGTGCATAAGGATAGTAAGGCACTCACTCTATGAAGCAAAGAATTCAAATTAAATGTAGAAGAAACTTAATGTTTTCATTTTTTATTAATTTTTAAAAATATTTTCTGTACAGAATGCATTTTAAGAAATTTTAAATTATTTTCTACTTTTTAGTGCTATTAGACGCATCTTTACAATTGTTAAAAATATATTTTAGTTTATAATATTAAAATTTTCAAAAAAGAATTATTTACTTTTTAAAACAACAAAGGCTTATAAATAGATCAGGTAAAGGACTTAACAGGTTAACACTGGATGAGAGTGTCACGTGGGGACAACAAAAATTACACCTGAGCAGACTAACATTTTTAGTGACAAACGTGACGCGTTTGTGAGTAGAGAGAAAGTCTTAGAACCTGGAATCCCAACTTCCATTATCCCATCATTTTGTATCATGTAAGATTACTTCTAATATATTAGCATCACTTAAATGGTAACATTTGTTAAAACTGGTTTATTTACTCCACATGTTTCAGATGCCCCATGGTAATAGAAACCCCTGCATGTTGAAGTTAGATATGTCAATGCTTATAACGATCTACCTTGTCCATTTCACTGCAAAAGCAGTAAACTCTGACAAGAGAGAAATTGTCCTCAGCCTTCTCATAGTACTGTATCGCTGTCTCCATGTCTCCAGTGCTCTCCATGTACTGAGCCCACCATCGATTTAAAGTTCTGTTGACATAAAATTTAAAAAATGAAGTCATGGATGTGACCTCTGACCTATAATGACCATAGATCACTGTTGATAATTACAGTAAACTGCACATGATAAAAACTTTTCAAAGAATAATAGTTATCAATTTAACTGAGCTTTTATGAACAATAATTTTGACCTGGGTATTAGAGAAAATAAAAGCCTCAAATTGTTACTATCCTATTTTTAAAAAATGTGTTTAACATTCTAATGGACTGACTTATCCTGGGATTTACTGATGTACACCTCCAGCTGGTCAGGATCATCGGCCAACATGCGAGGCACCTCAAACTTGTGAGTTTCAGATTTTTCATAACTGAAGGAAAATAAAATGTAATTTATTCAGATTGCCTACACACTGGGCTTCCAACAAGAAGACCCATGGCCACATGCTGCCGGCCAGGTCCTGTTCTGGAGCTGCCCTACGAATCACTTTAAATTTGTTATAGTTTTAAAAATACACACAAAACCAACATATGTAAGGGATTAGTGGCTTTGAACTAAATTTAAACGAAGCTATATGTTACAGTTTTCAGGTAAAAGGCCATGCCCTTTACTATAAATTAGTTTAAAAAGTTATGTATCTCTTACTTAGGTATAGCTGACTGGAATTCTCCTTGCTCCTCTAAATGTCGGGCATAGTTGTAAAATGTAGTTCTTAAATGAATGCGATCATACATTTCAGCAGTTTCCAATGCCTGAAATTAATTTATATTGAGCTAAGAATAAAACTGACTTATCAAACAGTAGATAACAGTCTAAATTTGTTTTACCAGTATGTAAAAAAAATTTCAGATGAAATAAATAGAAAAAATCTTAAAAATAAATTGACTACATATCACTTGGCTTCACTGAGAGCCAGCTAATCTTGGAGTCATATTTATTTTCTTTATGGACAACTTTATGTAGGCCTATCTACTTAATTCTGCTTCATTTTATTTCCTGGTCTAATGATGTGCCAAACAGATGTATACAAGTTATTACCCCTAGCAAGATTTAGTTGTCAAAACTTCAAGCAAAGAATTATTTAAGGAGCAATGAAAAACTCAGACAAGGATTTTCAAGACAGAAACAAGTATGTATAATGAATGAAAAAATAAAATTTCATTTATTTGGATCAATAAAAATATATCTTATCTCTGTTATTTAAATAACATTTTTTTTTCAAGGTTTTTTTATTCTTCTTAATTATGTATTTTTTTCCTTTAGGACATTTCTTAGTCACAAAGTGTAACGAAGAATTTTAAAATGAAATGTTTATGATCTTCACAGAGTTGGATCAGTTTTTTTTATTTTATATTTTATTTTCCCAATATGAACAATGAATAAGATAAAGTCTTTTGAAACACATGCATCCTTAACACTAAAAAACATAAACAATAGCCACCTTTTGCCACTCGCCTCTGTTCTGGTAGAACTCATTGAGTAGATCATAACGTTTACAGTTTCTTAACAGTCTCTCTGCATCCTCCTGAATAGTAAACATAGTTTTATTGTGTTTTTTTATATAACAGAATGACTAATTAATTAGAAACTTTTAAATTTTAAATTTGGATTTATTTATTTTTGTTAACGATTTGGGGGGGGGGGGGGGGGTGAGATAAGGAGAATTATAAGTTGATTTTTATCTCTTCGATTTTCCCAATGGTTTCATTTAAAAAACAATTTATTTAAAATACTTACATATAGCCCCAACTGAATTGCCAAGACTGCAACTTTAGCATCTAGCTCTGGCTCTGACACCAGGGCCTCCCTCAGGGCTTTGGCTCCTCTGGCATGACCCATGTTGCCCAAGCACACACTGGCAACATCCAAGCGTCGACTTTTCACACACATTTTAGCCATGTTCTCCCACACTGATTCACTTAAATATTCAGTGAAGTTTGACAATGACATAACTTTAGCATACAAATAGTAAAGTGGAATTTACCTCATTAATTTACGTTTGAAATGATACAGGCTAGACATATGTCTCTCTGCCCTCTGAAATCTTGTAGTATTGTGCTTGCCTATACTAGCTGTTTTGGTTCTAGTTAAATAAAATGATCCCATATCTTATTGTGGTGGTAATGAATATTTTTGCAAAGTTTCATTAAGAAAGTTTGAATTACTTTTAAAAAACCAAAACAATGGTATCCAAGGACAGCTTTAAAAAAAATTAGCACTAAAAAAAATTAATACGCTTTTCAAAAATACAATATTCCAAAATGGCAGCCTTTAAATTACTGCATAAGCAATGGAAGCAAACCTCTTGATGAGTTTGATTGCCTTGAATGCTTCATCCATGTTACCCACAGTCAGGAAAAAACTAAAGTTCATCATGGCGTCCCTTGTGCCTTTGTCGCTGTTTTCAAGGCCAACATAATCCCTCATGATTTTTCTTGCCACGCGTTTAGGGTAGGTAACTGCTCCTGTCTCTGGGTTGACAACCCCGCCCTCGGTTTGAAGTTCACTGGGGCTTGTATCACCCTTAAAGTAAAAATAATTATAAAAGTGCCTATGATTTTTGTGTGTGTACACTTTGAAAAAACATTGACATTTAAGTTATGATATAAAAAAAAAAAATTTAAAATTACAAATTAAAAAACCATATGGATTATACAATAAATATTTGGTATTGTCTTATCTTTGAAAATATTTGGGTATATGTTTATGCATAAGAAAATCAGATACTTTCAACATTTTAAGATCTATTATTATTTCACAAGCAAAAACACAATATAAAAAAATATAACTCAACATATAAAAAAGTACTTAGTGCACTAGTTTACCTTTTGGGTGAAACAATAATAAGGGACTTCAACACCCATCAGACGAACAAACTGTTGAGGCATTGAGAAACTATCTTGTATCAAGATTCCATTTTCTGATGTGCAAAATAATGAGATGATCATGATCTCAACCTGAAATTTAATAACAGTAATAATAATAATAAAGTTCATTTCAAAAACACGCTTCATCCCCAAAGGCTCGAAGCGCGGTACAAAGTCAACAAAATACAAATCTATAATTTACCACATTTAAAATAAACGCAACACTACAAAAACTAATTACAAGCATACAATCTCAAAGTTTTTCTAGCCATTTCAACCCGGAGCAACACAGCCATTATGCGTTAACTGGAAAATAAGGTAGACAATCATCCCAGAAGGTATTTGCGAAATAGATGTGTCTTTAGATCGGTTTTAAAGGACTCCAGTGTCTGGTTGTTTCTGAGATCGACTGGAAGGACGTTCCAAATTGTTGGACCAGCAAATGCGAAAGTGCGCTTTACGTAAGTCTCAAGGCAAACACATGGTGTCGAGAGTTTGCCACTATCGGATGAGCGGAGTTGTCTCGTGGGTACATAAGGCGTCAGCAGCTCTTTCAGATAGGACGGCGCCAGGTCATGTAAGCAGCGGTAGCACAAAGTAGCACAAATTTAGAAGAAGAAGAAACCATAGATTGTGTTGACAAACTGAAAGAGAACATCCATTAATCCTAACCAGAAGACATTTTTAGGGGCATAATTTGCCAAGTTATTTTTATGTTATTTACATAAATTGCAATTTAATAAATGAAAATAAACTAATGCAATACATTTTAAACAACTCACAGGTCCTTCTTCCACAATTTTTGTTAGGGAAGGCTTTTTAGAGGCATTGTGGTTGATGGTATCAGACAAAATCCAAGCCTCACAGACAAAAAGTTTTGGCTCTGACGCATCCCAGTACTGGGAAACAGGATACCGGCCAGCTATGTCTTTGGCAGCCTGAGTTTTGCCCCTGTTTGTGAAATCATTAATTGCTTAAGAATTAGCACAAATTACTTCATTAGAATTAGGAGCTACTTCAAATTTTTAATTAATTATATTTTTTCTCTTTTGTCAGAAACATTTACTCATTTAAAAAAAAAGGTCATTTTCAGTATTTGACACCACTATGTGACATTATAGTGGTGTTGGACTCGATCTACACTTAGCTCAGAGACACTTTCACTTAAATGTACAATAATGAAATTACCTCTCAGCATCATTTGTGTCATCATAGTTGTCTGCCTCCTGAACTCCAGCAGGGATTAGATAATCATCCTGCTCACCACGACCTGTCTCAAAGTTGAAGTACTGCACAGTATCCAGCTCAACATCCCAAAAGTATAATTTGTGATCTGGTTTCCCATCAGCCTTGTTATAAAAAAAAGAAAGTGCATAATTTTTTTACATTTCTTATTTTCATCTCAATGATAACGCGCAATCAACTCAAGAAAAATTATTCTTTAACAATATTTTCTAAAATGACCAAGTGAGGAAACAAGAAATATTTAAAGAACTTGTTTCTCTCAACTCTGCTTACCAGCAAAACTTGAACACTGACACGGTTGCCAACACAGTTGACCTTGGCATTGATAGTACTCCCAAACCCTGGGATGACATCTTGAAGATTTTTGGGGCTACTGTGAGCCTTTGCCTCCCTTAAACAAACATGATTGAGGATCACTGCACATGTTTTGAAAAAATATTAGGGAATAGCAGAAAACTAATAGGAAAACGCTGGGTCAGGATGTAATATTCTTGCTGTCATTATAAAGGGCTGCTAGAAGATCTGAATTTATTATTTCAAATTTCTCTGCTCTTCCCATGAAACATAGGTTCATTAATAAATGTAATTTCTACGTAGCTAAATGTTAATTTTAACATGATTGTTGATTTTTAAAAAGATTAATAATGATTTTTGTATTCTAGCAGTCCTTTATAATGGCAGCAAGAATATTGAATCCTGACCCTATTATATCATAAATTTATACAAAGCCTCAATGAAGCTTAAAATCTATGATCACAAAATTAACTAAAAAACTAGGTAGAAAAGAATATCAATCCCCAATTATCAAATTATAGAAGACAGGAAATCAGAATCCAGAAGCCATATCATTTTCATTCAAGATGATCAGACAAATTTACAGGTTTATCTTTAGGAGGTAACTGCTCATTTGGAAAGATAAATATGTACCTCCTTGAGAGATCATAAACGCGAAGGATACCAACATCGGTAGCAACCACTAAAAAGCTACCACAGACATCGAGGCTAACAGGGTGACCCTCTGGTTCAGCAAATGTTATTAGTTGCTTCACTGTGCCCTGCCATTGCATAAACAAAAGCTATTTAAGTTTTTCTAATTAAGATAAAGTATATCATATGGAATATTTTTGAAGATATGGTATCCAAAAACAACTTAAATATTTTATTAATCACAATGATTAAAACCTAGAATTTCTAAGTGCAGTGTGTTTGCTGCCACAATTGCAGAATGTGCTCATTAGATAAACTAACTACTAATAACTGAACATTTCAATCATGTTGAATAGTGTTTATTCTGTTTATAGTAAATGTCCAAACTGTTCATAGTAAATGTCCAATCTGTTTATAGTAAATGTAACAATTTAAGTTCTGTATCACTTGATTTAAAAAAAATGTAAACATGTGAATCAGAAATTAACAAGTATCATGCATTGAGTTTTAAACAGTTTGTGTCCAATGGTATTACTTTTAGGAAATGAGTGAGTTATCAATTAAGGAGTTAATGTAACTTTAAAATTTTTTTTTTTAAAATTGAAGAATAAATTATCATTTGACAATAAAAAACAAATTGATAAAAATTTATAATTAAACTTCAGATATCCTTTAAAAAATTATTTATGAAGGTTAAGCTTTCTTTGTCTTTGTAATAACTGAAACTCATTTAATAACCATATAACCTTAATTAACTTATTAGCATTTTGTAAATGTTTTTATTAACTACCTTAAATTTTTCTCATGACAACAAAACTTTTTTGACAGGGGTCATAAGTGATCAATATTTTTATAATTTGTTTAATTTTTATAATATTTAGGGTGATTTTTATAAATATTGTTTTTTTATTATCTTATTTTAAACAGCTCAGCACTGAAAATGTTTTTTTATATATTCACGTCCTCAAACATTTAACAATCTCTTATATAGATTTTGCTTCTGGCGTGTCCTGCATCCTTTCCAAAACTACCCTCCCCCAACTCCACGTTTTACTATTAATAATGCTGAATGAAAAATAAAAGGCTGTCATGCTGGGACATGTGAACTTAGGGAAAAAAAATCTTTAAGAGGAGGTTACTATTAGGTTACTCAATAAAGGGCCAAGGGTATGGTGTAGGACTGTCTGTAGGCTTACTGTTTAAAGGCCAGCAGGTAGGGTGTAGGAGTGTCTGTAGGCCTATTTAATTTTTAAAAAAACGGACCATGTGTAAAAAAAAAAATGCACTCAGTTAAGCCCTAGTTAAAGAACATTAATATTAAAATTAACTACTTGATAATTTATTTTAAAACAATGATCTTACTTGAAATGTTCTAACTTGAACTTTGTTTTGTTCAATTGTGTACACATTTTGTTCATAAAGAGTGATAACCGTAGCATCTGTGGCAAAAGTACCTGTAAAACCCCAAAAAACAGAAAATAAGTTATTTTGTTCTACTATCATAATCTATTGTAGTAATGAAGACATCCACAATTATTTCCCTCCTTTGGTTGGAGAATTAAATAACATCGCTGTGGCATTTCTACATGAGGTTACCTGGTAAATGTGTCTCTGCAATGGGTGACCTACCTGCAGCTTTAACTGCTGATTTATCTGATGAATATTCATAAATGATGACTCTCTTCCCATTCCACACAGCCAATGTGTCCTACAGGGAGAAAGGAATACCTATTGGCTAAAGATTTGTTGTGCTAGGAACTGACCTAAGTTTTTGATTTAATAATCAAAACCTCTATTTTGATATTAGATTTATCCAAAATTTTTTTTACATATTTATTTTTAAAAAAAAGAAAGCCTTTGAATTTCAGAAAAGCTTTCCACAAGCTTTAGAATTTTTTTAGACCTATTTGATAAAGGTCCAGGGATTTTAATTAAATTTTTATTTTCTTAAAAACTTCAGGCATCTTTTAAATGGAAATGGGTTTTTTCACATAATTTTTTTATTTTATGAATTTTTTTTTTTGTGAAGATATTGAGGAACACACCTTGGTAGTACAAATGCCCTTGACTTGAATTTCTGTCTTAATGTCATGATGGACAGCAGAAGAAAACATTTCAATGCTCAAAGCACCAGGGCCGTATTGGACCACAGCAGTCTAAAAAATGTGTTTTTAAAAAAAATTGGATAATGTCATATATATATGAGAAGTTTTAATGTTTAAAACCCTTAATTCTTCATTATTTTGATAACACAAACAACTAAAATCACAACTTTAATAACTTTTTAAAAATTTAATAAAAAGTAGATTACAATAAGTTTCATAGAACAGTAGAAAAAATAGATAACTCTTTACTACGCTACATTTTTAATCAAGTACCTGATCCTTGTAACTGAAGTTCATAACTTGTTCACTGAGTATATACACATTAGCAATTGTATTCACTGCCATCAAACCTTTGATGTTGCTCCACTGAAATCGGAAACACAATTAAATTTTTTTTAATGGGTACATCATTCTTAGTTTGCAAGGCATATAAATATAATAAACAGTTAAGGATGCATTGGTAACGTTGATTTTTGCTACTTTATTATTTGGCTGAATTTCATTATACTAGGCCTTTAACTATTTTGCAAAAGGTAGACCTATGCTTAGATGATGTGGGAACAGATCTACAGTAGTAGGAAACCAAGAAGCAGCAGTTAGGTCTAGGTGGAAGAAAGTAGTGGGGCAGGCCAAAGATCTACACAGACTGTAGCGCCACAGGGGGGATAAATAGTAAGTGAGGCAATAGCATTCAGTAAAATGCTAAGTTGATATTCAGTAAAGTTTCTGATAGTTTCCTTATTTGCAACAAAAAAACCATGAGAATCATAAATCATCTTAATCTTCTTACATTGTGGATTCTCTGATTTCACTTTCACATTGTTAGTCCTTTTTTGACATACTGAGACTCACATTGTTTTTCTCACTATTGTATTGACTTTCACACATTAACTTTTCATACCTTGTGGATGCCTTAAAGTAAACAACAATCAATTAGTTTATTACTCTAACTTACCTCAATTTGTCTGATGGGCCCTTCTACTGTTGCTGGCGGCTGAAGCTTCCACTTCTCATCTCCATCCACTTTCCTGCCACCTGAAGGAGGTGAATACTTCCAAAGAGCCACGTTGCCAAGATTGGTGCCTCCTGCCAACATGCCGGTGTCCTTGTTGTAAGCCAGACACATGATGGTTTCATTGCTGTCATAGCCCGAGTTCCCTTCCAGGGTTAAAATGTAGTTGTCATCCTGTTCCAAGTCCCACATTCTGGAGAAGAAATAAAAGAAAAGTATGTAGAATTTGGTTCCTCTTTCTAGTATCTTAGAAGTTGCTCATAACTCAGCCTGATATAGCCTACTCAGATAGCCTGATATAGTCTATTCAGTTAGCCTTATATAGTCTACTCAGTTAGCCTGATGTAGCCCACTCAGCCTGATGTAGCACACTCAGTTAGCCTGATGTAGCCCACTAAGTTACCCTGATATAGCCTACTCAGTTAGCCTGATATAACCCATTAAGTTACCCTGATATAGTCTACTCAGTTAGCCTGATATAACCCACTAAGTTACCCTGATATAGTCTACTCAGTTAGCCTGATATAGCCTACTCAGCCTGATATAGCCTACTCAGTTAGCCTGATGTAGCCCACTCAGTTAGCCTGATATAGCCCAGTCAGTTAGCCTGACATATCCCAGTCAGTTAGCCTGATGTAGCCCACTCCACTGTTTTGTTTCATCCTCTTTCAGGCTTTACCCCACCCTATGTTTCATATTTGCTATTGTTTAAACTGACTGCAGTCTTCCCTTTATTATGGCCACAAATCGAGGTAGGACTTTTGTGGATAAAATAAATTCCTTCAAAAGAAATAGCTCAGCTTGGCAAGGGATTCAAACCCTAGTAATTCAGAGCACCTGTCAAATGTGCGACTACATCTGTAACCTAGTCGCAAAAACCATTTAAAATATTTTTTTTTAAAAACAACTTCAAAGACAATTGTTCAAAATCTTTTAGTACCTTAAAATGTTCCTTTAATCTGAATTATTTGATTTAAAATATAAAAGCTTCATAAGAATCTTTATAAGTTGTTAACAGTCAAAAGTTCTTTAATGTTACAATAAAATTTTTAAATGAACATATCTGCTACTTGCCTTATTACGAGTTCCCCAGTAGCTGTAGCTAAAAGTCCCTTGCCAGCCCATATGAAAGAAGGATTTTCTGATTTGCCACTGAGTTTTACCTGTAAACAGATGATTTCCACTTTACAAAACACAGGGTATGATTAATTAATTTGTAAACATACCATGAAAGAACATGATTGTGAAGGTTTCGTACATGATTTTCACAACTGAAACTCTTTTTGAGTCTTTTTACATAAAAAAAAAAGAAAGAGCAAGTTTGCTAATCTGTGTAAAATATTTAAGCTACATCCTGTGTGTATAGTAGGTTGTGTGTGTAAATGCTGTGTTCCACAAGCAATAAACACAAGTTTTGCACATGTAACACCATTGTTTTTTTTTTTTGCTTTTAATTTTTTAGGCACTTTGGTAAAAATGTGAAAACATTTCTAAAAATATAAAAATACTGCAGCAAATGGATTATAAAAATGCCAAGATCAACTTTCTAGCTCAAGTGGTTCAAAAGTTATGAATTTGTTAATAAAGACCTCAAAACCACTTTTTTTTTTCACTGTGGAGTTTTTTTTTACTCCAACTTTGTGACCCATATTTTGCTTTTGCTTTGACACTTAAAACATTATTATAAAATGAGATAAAAATATAATATTTACAGGAAATATGGTTAGATATGAGTTTTACTAAATAAAACTACAAATTTTAAATTTAGTTATTGTTAATATTGCCAAAAGAATGATTAAACACATACTAGTTCATGGCTCCAGATTACCTTAAGTATTTCTTTTGTGTCTGCTTCACCAAAAACTGCATGCTGTGTCAGCATAAGATTCTGAGAGATGGTAACCAGAACATTTTTATCTTCATAAAACAGAAGCTTCTTAATTGGTGTGTCTATAGAAAAGCACTGTGTGCACCTGCCTTGATCGCTGAGGAAGTACACCCCACCTGAAAAATTAAATGAAATATATTACAATTAAATATCTATCTATCAGCATATCCAGAATGAATCTATCTATCAGCATATCCAGATGCATCTATCTAATCAGCATATCCAGAATAGATCAATCTCTCAGCATATCTAAAATGAATCTATTTATCAGTATATCCAGAATGAATCTATCTTTTTTGTAAAAAGGAAAGTTAAGAAGTATAATGAGCATAACCACATTAAAATGTTAGTTAGCTTATTTTTTATCCATTGTCCTAGTTTTGCAAAATTACCCTGCATAAAAACAATTTATATGCACATAAATTACCACTTGCACCGCCCACAAAAAATGACAGAGATTCCTGGGGTCCAAAAGGATTTGCAGCCATTTTGTTTTTTCCTCCTCTTTTCCAGTTGAACATATCAAGGGCTGATTCATCCCCACTCACAGCTGCCCTGGCAAGGCTGTTAATATCCCTGTAATATAAAAAAACATTTGCAGATTATGATATATAGATATATATATATATATAAATACTTACATTTTATAATGATGACTATTTTATTTAACTAAGCAGAAATACTCTAATCAATTGATTTATAACAATAAATTATTTCATTTTATTTAAAGTGAAAAAATAAAAAGCTGAATGAGAATACATGCCAATAATCCATATTGTGCAAAATTGCATCTTAAAATTTATGCAGGAATTTTTGTATAATGTTAACAGATTTGTCAATGCCTTTTAATGTAAACCTACATAGCAGGATCAGGAGGTGGAGCTGGTTTTAGAATGATTTGGGTGATTGGTTCTTGTACATGATGTTGAAAAGGATCTTGACCGAGATGACCTTTGCTGTCAGACTTCCAGCCAATTAGTACACCAGACTATTAAATTTCAAAAAAGAGAATTTTCATCTCATTATTATGTTTTTAATTTTGCATGTTGTAATTTTTAAAACATAAAATAATGTTTATTTCATTAACTCAATAAAAGGCCTATTCAAGCTGTACTTAAGCCCAATTCAATGTAGTTCATAGTTACAATAATTAAAGAGTACAAAAATAGGCAGGTTGTTAAGTAGTACATTTTTAAAAAATAACTTAACAATGAAATAATCTATAATTCAAAAAAAGTTTCTATACTGTAAACTTTTGAGAGAATATAAGAATAACACCATTTACAAAAAAAAATTACTTTTCAAGAAGAGGGTTACTTTTTAAGGAGTAATAAATAATACCTTTTGTTGTGCTGTTACAGTTTAATAACACAAAGCTTTAATCATTGTGAAATAATAATGAATATGTTTTTATTGTTACTGACTGTGTCGGCTGAGATGAGGCGAGTTCCATTTGAGCTCCACTGAAATACTGAAATCTCTGAACGATGAAGATGAGGTGCCTCAATAAGTTCTTTATCCTGTTCATTCCATAAAATAATTTCCCCTGTCTCCCAACCAACTGCAAGGATCTTGCGCAATGGATGCCAAGCATAAGAAGTTGGGTGTCCTTGGTGGCTTATGGGTTTATGTGGAAGTTTATCTCCCTATTTTGACATTTATGATAAACAAATACAAGAAATAAACAATTAATTTAGTGAAAGCAAAATTAATTTAAATGAGTTTTTACATCAATGTATGAAAATTAATATCAAGTTTTCATAAGAATATCCAAAGCCACATGAACATTATACAGTAGAACGTTGATTCTCCAAAACACTGGTTATTCAGACTGCCCATGTCTTCTTTCAATTTAATTTTTTTACATGCATAGAGGAGCATTGTTATAAAATACTGGAACATAATTCCAACCCCTGTTGCATAATCCTGGTAAAATCTAGATACATATTGTAAATGCAGTGACCAAACAGGGAACATGTGGTCTGGAAAGTCATTAATTAATATATATTACAAAGTGACCCGAATTCTATTCTAAGGAAATAACCTCTTTTCACAGCAAAAAAAAATGTCCAGTTCGTACCAATTTTGTTAACATTTGATACACTTTTGATGATTACTGTAAATATTGTACTGTATAATAAAGTAACTTAACTGTAAAAGATAAGAATATATTGTATTATTTGAACTACCTTCTTTAATCCAACCTTTTTGTGGAAGATTTCAGGTATATGACATTATAGGGTATTCGAAACACCCCTGGACCCAATTAGTTAGAAAAACTGGTGTTCTACGGCAAGTGCAATAGCAAGGAATACATTTAAAAAAAAAAACATGTTGAACAAAAAAAAAAAAGAAATATAAGCTAAATACTTAAAATAGCTTTTTAAACTTTCAAACTAATTGAAGGCCTTTTAGTAAATTTAGAAAAACTGGTGTTCTACGGCAAGTGCAATAGCAAGGAATACATTTAAAAAAAAAAACATGTTGAACAAAAAAAAAAAGAAATATAAGCTAAATACTTAAAATAGCTTTTTAAACTTTCAAACTAATTGAAGGCCTTTTAGTAAAGCTTGATATTACAAACAGTAGTTTCTTAATTGTTTATATTACATACTTCTTCATTAAATAGCCTAACACTTCCTCCATGGTCTTCACTGTATGACAATACAGCTAGCAAAGGTGAACTCTTTAACCAGCCTATATTTATGTTGATACCAGCACCTTCTGTGTCCAAACAATGGTCAAAGTGAACAGCCATCTTTGTGTATAGGCTAGTGGAGCTGTTTAAGTATCACTTTTGTAGTAATTTAATTTTTTTGTGTCTAATAATTTTGTGGGTGCATCTGGAAAAAATAGAAACCTTTTGTATTCATTACATGGTAAATCATCCTGATTGCTAGAATGTAACTGTACAGTGCCTTTGTTAAACAAAATAACAGTGTAAGTAAAACATTTTATTTTTAGAGCATGATTTACTCACCCTGTCCCTGTCTTTTGTTTAAATGTTATGATAAGTGTATTTTTTAATTCAAAGTACTTTAATCCCTAACGTTATCTATTCTACTGGTAATTACCATCCCTTTTCCACTATAAAACACTAAATTTTAATTAGTATTTAATTGATTGGGTTTTCCCTTGTTACCATAACACTGCATTCAATTATCTTGGTAGAAACATAATAATAAATTTTAAAGTGCTTATATTTAAGGTAATGTGCCACTCACAGTCTTTCAGTATTACATCATTACTAATAACAGAACTGCTTTTTTAAAATAAAATTTATGAGGATCTAGGTAAAGTAGAGTATACATTTACATAATTATATAATATCTAAGTTAACTAAGTACTATTATGATGTATACCCTGTTCCAAATATATCAGCTTTTCCCAACTTTTTTTCAGCAGCTTAGTTATTTCTTTACTTTCCCTTTGTGATCTTCTAAAAACGTATCACTAATTCTATCCATCTCTGTGGTGATAAAGCCCATGGAGGGATGTGGCGTGCCTCACTACTTCCTTCCACTCAGACCTAACTAATGCTTTTCTTTTCCATGCTTGGATTTCCAGCTGTTGTAGATCTTTTTCCACATCATCCATCCATCAAAGTATCACTTATTCTAGCCCATAATTATTTTATAAAACAGATTTGAATTCCATATACCAATATAAGCCTCATAAATTTCAATAACAAGCATAAACTCTTTTAAAAAATGTAAGTAAATCAAACAGAAACCTGATATAGTTTGTTAATGAGAATTAATTTACTGTTTTTTTTTTGTTAACTAGAAACTTCATGTTTGGTGAGAAAAAATGATAACTTTATTCTCAGATAAAAGTTATTAACCTTTTGCTTCCCCTTAATCTTTTAAACAACAAAAAAATAACGAAGACAAATCAAACATAATACGACTTAGTATAATATGCAATGATAAAAAAATGTCACCTCCAAAAAGTGCTACCCCGGGTGAATGTCACCTATTCCTACCCCAGTGATAAATCTCCCATCTTCCTTTGTTGTAATGAAATTTAAATGGACATATTCTAATGATAAAATACACCACCTCTTACCCCCAAACTGAATGCTTGCATTGACTGATATACTTATTCCAATAATATAAAAAGCTGACCTCTGACCTCAACCTAATGTGCTTTCACAAACTGTCCAAAAAAACTTCCAGCAGGAGTGGATTGGTTACTTTCTAGTCCCAAATAATGCCAGTTATTATCATTACCAGTATTTATTTAATTAAGGGTTTCATGGAACGGATTTTAAAAAAACAACAATCCAAATTAGGTTTTCGATACCCGGTACAACATAGTTTCATGACCCAGAAATGATTGCTTTCCAGTCCAGTACTGACTTGGTCTCAAGACTCTACTTTACTGAACTGTAAGAAGATGTAAGTTAATGTGTGTGCAGAGGTAGACTAATAATATTTATGGCTATTGCCTGTACTCCCCAGTTCCATGTTAGGCCTGATTATATTTATAATTAATAATAGTCATTATTTAACTCAGTAAAACTTAACAAACTCAATTCAGTCGAAGAGACAGACAAAAAAAGAGAATAATAGGTGCAGAGTCGCTCAAATTGATAAAAGTGATATTTAACTTGGCAAGAAGTCAAGAAGAAAGAGTAAGAAGAGTAAAACAAACTTTACAAGGTAGACAAACTAACCGAGTTACTGACAAAGTTAGCTACTGGCTACTGATTGATGCCTACTACTACTGTCTACTGATAGATAGTACTGACTCAGGATAGAATGTACCTTTACTCCATAAGTATAAATTATAAATGTTCCAAAGTGTTACTATACATTCTAATTCATCAGTTCTCACGCTCGGTATTATTGAATTGCATTGTCATATTTAAGTCCCTATGATTTATGTTACCTTGGTAACTATGATGCCAACCTGTAATGATAACCTGCAAAGTTTTCTGTTTAAAAATATGCGTGACCCAGGAAATAGTTAGTAATGTTGGGTAACTCGTGCAAATCAAAAACGTGTACCGGAGTTAGCCATTTAAAAAAAAAAATTGTCTTATTCTGATCTAGTGGGGGGAAAGGGGACTGTGGAGTCAGTGGAATCAGACTATTAAATATTGTTATATGAAATATATATAACAAAATTTGTGAGATAGTTTAAATGCTTGTTCACAGACAATAAATAAAAAAAATTATGAGACTATTATATTATACTAGAAGAAATGACCCGCTGTTACTTGGATTATAAGGGATTGCAAATAATATGGTGATAAGGGGAGAGACTGCAATAATGTTAGTAAAAAGGAAATGAGTAAAATAAAGTATGGTCAAACCTGAAAAAAGGAACGCAAAAAAAAAAAAAAAAAAAAAAAAAAAAAAAAAAAAAAAAAAAAAAAATTTTTTTTTTTTTTTTTTTTTTTTTTTTTTTTTTTTTTTGAAAAAAAAAAAAAAAAAAAAAAAAAAAAAAAAAAAAAAAAAAAAAAAAAAACCAAAGTGTTGACAGAAAGCCTTCGTCAGCGAAAAAACTACAGGACAAAAACAATTAAATTTAAAAATAGCACTTAGCTGAGAAGTAGTATCCGAGAGTGCAACAAAAGAATTGTGACAGAAAATAAGTAGGGTAGAGATTAAATACAGGCAAAAAGGGAAAGAAAAGCGGAGCAGTCTCTAAACACTTCATTAGAAGCGACCACAATGGCATGGCAGATTTTAAAATTAGTGTGATCATGACCAGCACAAACACACCCAGCAGGGTGAATTTGGAAAACAACCTTATCCAGACCTATGGAACCTTGACACCACATGACATGAACGTCACGTCTTTATTTACTGCTTGAACATTTCCCCGCCCCTCCACGCCATGTCCAATCGCAGTGGACGGACAGTGATGTTTTTCTCTTGTGATGGATGTATTGATTGTATTCTGACAGATGAAGTTTGTTAAAATAATTGTAATAATGCAATATGTTTTGGAATAAATTTTAATTACTTGTTAATTTTTTTTTTAAATTTATTTCGAAAGTGTCACATACTTTGGCAGGGGTCTAAGATTTGTGACAGATTGTGACAGGGGGAGGGAGGTATAAAATTGTCAAAAAATAGCGTGATAAACTTTGTGGACGGCCCCCGATACAGCCCAAAAAAAAAACTTTTATGCGCCCCTTAACTACCAAGAAAACGTAATTTCTTTATTAATAAGATTATACGATTTTACATTGCTGTAACATTAACTGATTTTGATATAGGCCCTACTGGTATCTTCATTGAAAATGTACCCAACTTCTGACTCACCGCTGACCTATATCATCAGAAAAACATTAAAAACGGAATTCTTTAAAGACAGATCTCTTAACAAATGTTCACATCTGTAATGGTCTTGTGTTTTTTAAGAATTATTCTTCATCTCATAAAAATTGTACATGCCCCCCGGTGGCACATCTAGGGCTTCCGACCGGGTGACACCATCTCAATGGGTGACACCAAATTGAAAAATTGCATGTTTACAGAGTACACACTGCCGGTCTAATCGAATTTCATAAAAGGATAACAAATCATGTAATTTTCCACACACGTAACCAATCCAAATGCATGCTTTATTAAAAGTTTAAGGTTGATGCCTCATATATGAGGTGACCTATAGATAGATCAGATAAACACCGTTTTGACTATGATACAACGCCGATTGAAGTGTTCTGTAACTTTCTTCAGTGACAGGAAGAAATATTTATCTAAATTATGAAAAATAAAGCTTTCAATTCTTACCACATACGATGTGGTCGGGCGATTCTATGTAGGTACATGAATCGAATTGGTAAAAATTAAAAACATTAAAAAAATGACTTTTTATCCATGGGCGCCCACAGAAAACTTTCTAGGGGGGAGCAAAAAAATCGATTAACTTTCCAGGGGGGGGGGCAAAAAATGTTTAGTAATGTTTTAATATAGTTTTAATTAACTGTAGCGTATTTGTATGGTGAACGAACGGACAGGACATCAGCTTAGTTACTTTCTCTTTATTTTCTCTTTACTTTGATAAATTTTGTGTCTATTTTTGTCTAAAAATGTTTTATCCAATCAATCCAGAGGGGGGGGGGGCAAGTGCCCCCCCCCTTGCCCCTACCTGTGGGCGCCCATGTTTTTATCTATTTATAAAGTTAACCAAATAATATTTTACAAAACTTTCTAATATCACTTAATAATCAGATTTCATTTATTTAAATGTAAAAATAAAATGTTTTTTTGAAACCAAATAAATATATCAAAACCCAGGAATAATCAAAAAGAAATATTCGCCGATTCGTCACTAGCACCGCCCCTTAACATTAATCTTACACAGCAGTATCTGCAGAATAAAGGCTTTACTCTTGACAGAGTGTTGACCAACCTAGAGGCCTTAAGATTGTTTCTGCACAAGAAGCGCTGTCACTAAGACTTGGTGAAACATGCTATTGAAAGGGCACTTTTAAAATCAGAACATTTTGGAATTTCGGTAGAGAGAAGATTAAGGTTTTAGAAGAGAATGACAGAAGTACAAACAACAGATGCTGGACTCTCTCTACGAGAAGAAAACAGTATGGAGATGCTGGAGTGTATTTATCGCTTTCATTCTGATGATCAGATCATCTGCGATCATGGAAGTAGTAGATATGTATAGGGCTGTTCTACTGAAGAGTCTACTATCAGCAAGTGAAGAAGAGTTCAAGAATGAACCTCTTTCTATGATGAGTTATCAGAAGATGAAATTTTAAAATAAATACCAAGGCTTAGAAGACACCTAAAAGCAGCTGATAATGAATTTCCCAAAGGCATGAACGAGTCTGTATTTGATGTTTTAAAATGCATAGCTGAATAGGACTTCCTAGAATCTCTTCCAATACTCTCGCTAAACCTTCAATGGTTTCTTACCATCGGTGTGTCCGTGGCTTCATGTGAGCGAAGCTTCTCAAAACTAAGGCTTATCCATAACTATTTAAATTTACGATCCACCTTGGGACAGTCAATGCATTTTTCACCTGGTTCTAATATCAATTAAAAGTGATACGGTGTAGGATATTGATTTTGATCAACTGTTTGCCGATTCTAAGACCAGGAGAGGAAACGTTTAATAAAGTAGGTAAACGTTATGTTAAAAATCACAACAACGTAACCCTGATACAGCTCTTAAATACATTTACCTCCTGACCGTCAATTAATTTGGTTTTGTTCTTGTCAATGTATAGGCCTACTGCCTACTGCCTACTGCCTACTGTCGACTGTCGACTTATTTGAACAATTAGAAATCCGTCGTGGAAGGCGATTTGGGGAGGGGGGGGGTTGTTGACACCATGAGTTGACCGCACCGGGTGACACCAACACTACCTACGCCACTGTATGCTCCTAAAATGTATTATGCACAAAAAAAGGGAAAACAAATGTTTCCTTACATTTAGAGAAACCCCTAACTGTTCATGCTCCTAACATGTATTTTGTGGGAAATTAAAAAAAAAAATGTATATATTTTTAAAGATTAAATTTTCACGTCTATAATTATAAAAATGATTGAGTTTTTAAAAAATTGTTATCCACTCTCGTTCTTTCACATTTTAAATGTGTTTTCACGCAATGTATACATATTTTAAAAACCATAATCCTCATAAATAAGCACACACCCCTTATCCTCGCCCCTGAGCAGTATATTTAGAAAAATTATAATGTTTCAAGAAAATCTGATCCGCTTTGATCTGATCTGATTTCCCCTTTTCAACCTCATTAAGTTTTGGGGTATGGGAATACTAAGACTTATGAAAATTATGTGTTCAAATTTTGTCAATGTGCTTGAATTGCATTTTCAGATAATACTGTAAAACGCACTCATTTATTGAGAAAGAAAATTTACCAAAAAAAAAAAAAAAAAACCAACAAAAAACTCTATTTCACGACTGTAATATCATCCGATTTAAATAGATTAATTGTTTGCGGTAGAAAGTTAAATATATTATTTCATTTTAGTTTTAAACTTATCTATATACCGATTCCCGGTGAGTAACCTCTTTGAACTTTGAGATGTTTCTATACCCATCAAATGGACCCACCCATTCTTTGGCTTATGTTGTGCTGCATGGGGACAAATAACAGAATCGCAGCCCTCCCCTACACACATAAACATTAATAAAAGCAGCCCGGGGGTAGTAACGACACACTTTGAACTACATTAATATTCTAATGTCCCAACCCCGTTTTCCACTTCATTTTCTTCTTCTTCTATATATTAAAGGCCCACGATCAATGTATTGATCATTCTGGCTCCTATGCATGCAGAGGGAATAAGCAATGTTTCTGTGCCAGGTGTTTGAGGATATTTCACTAGTTGCAATGGCTACTTAAACTATAGTGAGGATATCATGCACTGGGGTTGGACGCAAATGTGTCAAGTGTTGTCGCCTCAACTGTTCCTTTTGGAAGCTTGTTCCAATCCCTGGTTGTCTTTGGCAGGAATGAGCAGCTTCTCGCTGGTATGAGCCGGAATGTGTGAGAATATGTTTCAGGGAATGTGTGAGAATATTGTTCAGGGAATGTGTGTGTGTGTGTGTGTGTGTGTGTGTGTGTG